AGATTTTCAAAAAAGTGTCATGAATAACAGCCTGTTGCTCATATTGTCCGGAAGTATTTATGGGTGGTTAGTGGTAATTAGTGTTTGCAAAATTTAGATTTTCTCTCGGAAAAGTTTATTGTGATCTCGTTATATACAGAATTCAATTTCAAATAAACTGATGTAATTTATTCATTGAACAGTTAGAAGTTTTACTTCAAACATTGTGAAAAATGCATTAAAAGATGCTAAATTTTATTACATATTTTAATTCTCAATAGATCTATCATTAATTAACAGTCTTTCACGGGTTACAGTTGGACGGCTGAGTGATTATGAATCTTCTGAATTTTTGTGCAACAAGAAGCATGAAAACGATAGTTTTGTAGAACAAAAATGATTTTCTATAATATCTGCTTAGAATGAGGACTTACTTGATGGTAATTTATCAAAGGAAATCAATTTTACATTAAGACTAATAGATTTATTTATTGAATGATGTGATGATATTTCAATAATTTGAATAGATCTTCGATAATCACCAATATATTCAAATTCAATCGATTCCAATGTTAATTGTTTAAAAATGATTGGTTCAGATAATGGTATTTCATTTTTATCAACAATTATTAATTCACGTTTATCATTTGAAATATGAAAATGATCTGATTCAAATGGTAATCTAATAAGATTAAGTTCATCAACAAGACATAAAGGTTGTTCTATTAAATTTTCTGTATTATCAACTGGAAGATATTTTAATTTAGCATTTAATGAAAAATTTGCATGATTAGAATGATAACGAGCAGTTGTAATATTTAATAAATTCTTTTGAATTTTATTTGACTCTTTATTTAACATATTATAAATATCTTCTAATTTATTAATAAATTCTATTTGTTGTTGATCAAATGCAACAAATTTGTTCAAAGCCATTTTTATCGATTGTAGATTTTTTTCGTTTATTTTCTGTTCTAAATATTCATTTTTAATAATTTGAAGACGATCATTCTATAAGTATTCGATTAGGTAACAAACAATCTAATATTAATAACTTACAATATCTATTCTTAGTAAATCTTGTGATATTTTCTTTTCATGAATTATTGTCTGACAATTTTTCATATTCATAGCTACTATTGATAAATTGTCACGAATCAATGTTATATCTCTACTAATTTGTAATTCAATTGGTGTCATAGATTGCAAAGATGTTATTATTATAATAGATGATTTATTAGGAATAATATCTGTTAATGTTCTACCATTAAAAATTTGCCCTATTAGTTGTAAATCTATATCAAGTGTTCGAATAGCTAATTCAAG